AGTGAAGCTCGTACAGAAATGATTAAGAGTGAAGTATATACCAAAAGTTACGACGGGTGTCCCAAAAGTTTCCGGTCTCACCATGAACGAATCACACAAGCTCAACAAAACTCGCCATGTTTCTAGAACAGAATCTGAGCATGTGCTGCACATGCAAACATGAATTACCCGGGCTATAGCTGTCAAACAGCATGGCCCTACCATTTGCTTTCAAAATGGAGAGAACCGAATGCAGGGCTGTTATAGGGGTAACGCTGTTTTTCAGGATATTATCGTTTGCAGAAGCCCTAGGTCCTCAGTTAACTGCAGGACGCAGGAGGGAAAGACCGTGGGCTTCTGCAAATGATAACAGCGTTACCCCTATTATAGCTAAAATGGATGGAATTTGTGTTTAAAAAAGACAAAACAGTATGATATATTTAATCAGTGTGCTTCAAACTACACTGTTAGGTCATGAAACAAGATTAATGACGTCATTATGGAGCGTGACGACATTCGATCTTGGCCTACGCCATGACCTTGGCCTTCATTAGATCTATGCCGGACAACAAAGCCGCCATTTTATGACCAAGTCATAACGTCAGTTTCAGCAGTCACATAAGGTCCAATGATGTAGTTTATTGCACAATTACTGACATTTCAAACAGCAAGGGAGCTAACATTACCTGCATACCGTGGATAAGGATTTGGAGCCAGAATGTCAGGTAAACTCGACATCATGTGAAACGAATCGTAAGTCATGTCAACATGTTCAACTCCCCATTTTTTTCGCTTGTTGTTCCAAACTGTTGGCTGGCATCTTAGGTGACAAAACACCCTGAAGAAATTTACTTTATGAACTTTTATGTGCGCTGGAAAGATCCAGTGCGTTTATGGTTTGGAAACCTACGTTGATGTTACGCCAAAAAGCCCAATCTATGAAATAAAATGGAAAACAGTTTTAAGGAAAAATTATATTGTTTTCACTGCATATATTCATTTGATCTTTTTTATACGAGTTTTAACTTGCAAATAAAGAATCAAAAGTTACACTTACCGGTTAATTCCTTGACTTCCCAGGATGTTTGCTTGAGAGTATTTGCTGATTTCCTTTCCATTTGAACCTTGTCAAGTTCAGCTTCCTCTATGTCACTATCAATTTACTAAGTTTCGGCCTTTTCGACCTCAAGCGAATCAGTAGGACCGCGAGGCGCTCGTTCAATCTCTCGTAGCGACTCAGCTGAGTGGACCCCGACTCGGACGCTATCTACCTTTGTCAGCGTTCAGTGCATCACAAGCCGCCCCAGCGCGCACCCGCTCTGCTGTCATTTGACACCAGAACTAATAATGGCTCGTTGTTAAGAAATCAGCGGGTCATTATCATTTGCAGCAGACCGCTAGAGGGCGGTTTCATGATAATTCCATTTATTTTAGTTATAATATGAAGTATCTTCAAGTGGTATACACAATGAGAGAACGGGATCTCTCACCCTCATCAAGCCTTTTCACCTCAATTCTGGGATGGTGTAAATCCAGGTAGGTTCCATGCAGGTAGCCAACGTACTGTAAGTCCCCATGGGTCCTAGTATGAAATGAACTTATTTTACTGAAAAAAGTTCCTAGTAAAAAAAAAATATATGTAATGAAAAGGAGCCCTGAGACTTTCTTCATTTTCAGAAGCTGAGGAAATCTAGACTTGCCACATTTTGTAGACTTGTGTGGGCTTTCTTGGATATATTTGCTTCAGGGTCTGTACGACAGACTACCTAGTATGGTGATCTGCCTTCAGTTGTTGATGATCTATAGCCCGTTTTTATTTTGTATTGTATGTTGTGATTTAATTTTATGATAGCGTACTAGTTTTAAATGTATACATCTGTGACGCTTTAGTGTTTTTTACTGTCCTTCGATGTCAGGTTTTTACATTCTAAATTTATTGATTTTAATATTGATATAAATTAAGTTTTTCTCGTCACGATATGAAATATTGCCGATGTGACGCACATATTAACTCACTCACTCACCTCAATTCTGCTCCAAGCCCCACAAAAAACAGGACAAATTTAGCGGAATACCGAGTGATGTCCAACTAAATTTCACCTGTTTTTGTGTGGGTTGAGGAGCAGACTTGAGATGAAATGGTTTGATGAGGGTGCCTGACGCTCGTTCTCTCACTGTGTATACTATCTAGGGTTAATACTGTATCGTTGGGTACTATGAGTAATTTTTCTCGCACAAATCCCCCTGCCTGGTCCGTCCTTTAGGTAATATGGTACGTCTTGTTTGATACCTACCTGGTCAAACCTTTAATCATTATAAATCTATAACTTGATTTACTCACGTTATGCCTGAAATATTGCCAAAGTCACCTTAAATCTTAACTCACTCACTCACACTACCCTGTCAGTGCTGAACATTTTGATGGACCAGCTAACACAGTAAAGTTTTGAAAATGTTTCCGTATCGTTTTAGAAACGTTCAAGACAATTTTCTTGAGTTTTTTACGTTTTAAAACCGTTGACGAGGAACAGTCGAAACCTTCATAAATTTCTATATTTCCAGAGTTCAGATATTGATAAATTACGAATCGGCGTCAGGGACGGATTTCCAATGATCAATGAAGTCTTTTTCGAACTTATCTTTCCAGACGTAGCGTTGTTGTTTTGGCAGTTCATTGTTAGGTTGATTGATAGCTTCGTTGTCTATTTCAAGTTTATAGGTCATTGGCACATGTGAGGATTCGATCATCTACTCAAATGAAATCACACACCATTACCTACACTCCTCGTTATAACAACGAACGTTTTGTTCCTGCTGCTACTGTAACTTAACTACTCACTGCTCATGCACAGATAAATTACAGTCATTAAAACTATGCTCCATTAATTGGACAATACCAATGATGTACAAACCCGTGAATTTCCTGGTTAGTATATGGATCGTCAGTAACCCATGCTTGTCGTATGAGGCGACTAAAGGGATCGGGTGGTCAGGCTCGCTGACTTGGTTGACATATGTCATCGGTTCATCAATTGCGCACATCGATGCTCATGTTGTTGATCACTGGATTGTCTGGTCCAGACTCGATTATTTACAGACCGCCGCCATATAGCTGGAATATTGCTGAGTTCGGCGTAAAACTAAACTCACTCACTCACTCACTCACTCAATGATGTAAATGTGTGTTACGTCAAAAATGAAAAAGACAAGCTATTGTCTGCCCTTGTCATTACAGAGCTCTCTCCCTTTCCGGATACTCGATTCCTAGAAATAGGACTCGATTCCAGCTGTACCCGACCCGGGATTCGAATACCCGAGTACCCGTCCCAGCCTTAGAATGCAGTGATTCGTGAATATGAAATACAAGTGATGTAACTGGCGTTTCAATACCGGCCTTCGCGAAACGTGATTTTGTAAACACTAGCCAATAGGGCGCAAAGTGCACTTGGGCGTTCGTGTGAGTGTATTTATGAAAACATCTGAACACGATTCCAGGCTTATCGGCAACGTTTCAGAATTATTAGTGATTTTATTAAAAACTGATATCATTGTTAATTAATATGCTATTTTTGAAAGTCTATACTCCAAGTAATTATCCGATTTTGTTTCAATATGTCCGTCTGGCATCCCTTCCCATAGATGGATTTTAATTATATTTTTACTAATAATTTCAGCAATAGGCTTAATTTCTTTTTCATTCTTCGAATGTTTTAATTGAAACAAATCATCTTTTAAAAATGCTGTATTAATTGATGAAAACTTAGTTAGCATAAACATTGCTCTCGCAACTGATGTGTAGGAAAATAAACATAACATTATTATGTATCTATTTCTGTTGTGAGTGATATGCAGGCCTACTTCGTAGTCACTTTGATTAAATGTTATATTTGAATATCGAAACCTTTTTGTCACAGCGAACACAACACTATCCCTTGTCATATTACACGATAATATTTGGAATTTTTAACTTATTTTATAACAATATCTGAATGCTAATGTTATACTCTGTTAGGTTCATATAAGAAATACTATGGCACAATAGTTTTTCTGTGCCGAATCGTTGCAGCGTTCTATAATACACTTATGAAATATAATATATGTTTTCCGACCGTGAATTATGCATTTTCTGCAGTCACTTGTGAATTGAACTAAATGAAGGTTCATCTGATTAATGAGTATCGAGGAAATTATGTTCATCTATAAATTAGACGCAGCTTCATGTTTTTCAAGACATCTTCCGGAATATGTGTCTGTGAAGGCGTTCAGATAATGACGATTTTGAACAGTTTTATTCATGAGATTCTTGTCAAAAGTAAGGTCGGATAATAGATCGATTTTATTCAGCAGTGTTGGCCCTGGGGCCTATAGTACGATTACAGTTTGATTAATTGCACGTGGTGCTAGTAACATATTAAGTTTCTATTGGTATTGAATGCATATTTCAGATAAAAGCTATGGTATTAATTACACAACATGTATATTGTTTGATGTTACAAGATTTGGCAATGTGCGTTCATACATTACAATTTTTGACAGACTTGGCAAATAATTAATAAATGATATTGATATCATCTTCACGACTTGGCCATACAGTCATGACAATTTAAGGAGTGAAAAGTGAGCGATGGGTCTTGTGGGAATTCAAGGATTCATTAAGACTGTAGCCGTCTAAGCGTAACTCTGTGTGTAATATTTATACATTTTCTATCCACTGACAACATGCTTCTAATATTAATATTATTTTCATGGATTCATGATATTTTATCTATAACTGTGCTATAGTTTTTCATTAAAATGTCTTTTCTGTTGCTGGAATTGAAGTAAGTCCCACACAGAGCTGGGATCATATGTCTTTGAAATATAAATTATGCAAACGGCTAGAACCTTGTGTTCCAATACAAAACGTTCGTAACGCTACGACATTCGCATGATATGATAAACTATAGAGTTGGCCTCTACCATTGACTGGATTACATTATTTTCGTCAGCAGAGAAATTTCGACTTCTCTTTTTCCTTGGGGTGCAGGCGACAGTATGCGTTTCCATTTTTGGTAAACCTGAAGTAAACAGAAAACGGAACTATGGGATATATGGAAGCTAACCAGTGACGTTAACCACACTGTTAAACTTTGACGGCGACGTTAGCTAACGGCATGACTAACCATGTTCTGAACAACGCATATTTAACGTTCGGTTACCTAACGGCCGGTTAAGGATTTAACCGGCCGTTAGGAGTTAACCGGCGGTTAAGATAACCGAGTATTGAACAACCGGGACCAGATAGATAGTTAGTTAACCAACTAAGTACATTTCCACGAACACCATCATTTTCTAATTTGTGCAATAAACCTTTATGCCATGCCCTGTAAAAAGCTTTTGAAATATCACAAAACAGCATACAGTAAAGGTGGTGATTATCTAGGACTGAGCATATATTATGATAAATGTCTATGTTGAGATGTAGTAGAATGACTAGCAGTAAAACCTGACTGGAATTTACTTAAAATGTTATGATCATGGAAATGGTCGTGCACATGCTTTACCATTATTCTTTCAAGGATTTTCCAAAGGATAGGTAATATTAAACTAATAGGTCTGTAATTGTAGGGGGATTCCCGCCAATACACCTTGATATAAAATTGGATCAAAATCTATTAATTCTTTCCTGAGTTCGCGGCTACCAAGCTTGGCATGTGCAAAACTGTTACACCTTCGCTGTGACCTTTAAAATGACCTCAAGGTCACAAAATTCAAGTGGTGTCGGTATATCTTGTCAATAAACCTTGGTACCAAATTTGAACAAAATCCATCATTTCTTTCTCGAGTTCTTTCAGTAAACCGAAGGGGGAGTCATTTGAAAAAGCGATTGTAGTTTCAAATTGCCTTTTTGTGCAGTTTAATATCTAAGTTTGATTCTAGCCGACCTCTACCAATCTCAAACATACAAAAATGTTTCTTGCATATTTTGTTTCCTGTAAGTTTAATTTGTGATGCATTTCATTGCTAGTCAGCTAGGCTATTCCATTTGTCCGAACCACAACATACGGAGACAGATCATTTAGCAGACCGGGTGCTGTACTCTGGAATTGATTACCTGAAAATGTCAGAAAATCGGAAAATATCAACAGTTTCCGATCGTGTCTCAAAACCATCCTCTTCAAACGAGCATTCAACTAAGCGCACTTGAGCAGGACTCTGGATATGTAGCGTTATACAAATGTCTAATTTGATTTGATTTGATTTGATTTGATATACCCGTTAGAAACCCATCCCCACCCCACCCTACTTTATATTTATACATATCAAAACCTCAAAAGATATTTCCGAAAAGACATGATTCAGAGGACAGTTTATATCGATTATATATCAGGACGAATATTATTTTCGTCATTTGGTTAAGATTTGTCAATTCATTCTTGGGTTATCGCGCTAACAATCTTTATATTGGCAAAACCCTCAGATTTTTGCTGTGACCTTGAAACTCATCTCAAGGTCACTCCATTTCACTTGTGTCGGTGAATCTTGCCAATATACCTTGGTACCAAATTTGAACAAAATCCATAATTTCTTTCTTGAGTTATCGCCCTAACAAGCTTATTTGATGTATGAAATGCAACGAAAAACAAACACCCGCGTATTTACGAGTGATTAAAACTGTTATTACAATTTACGTAAATATTTATTACATTTTACCGCAACGAAAATTATTACAATTTACGTCAATTTTTATTACAATTTGCGTATTACAATTTACGTCAATTTTTATTACAATTTGCTGCAAGTATTACAATTTACGTCAAGTTTATTACAATTTGCTGCAAGTATTACAATTTGCGTTTTTATTTCAATTTACGTCGTAACAGGGCCTGTAAAAGCAACCTCAAACTACTTGATTCTATCCATCCTGCTTGACTGTGTTGAATTCTCCATCATAAGAGGTAAATACTTCAATGTGAAAACAGTTAAGGATCTTTTTAACACTGTTAATTTTCATTTAATTATTGGCTTTTTAAAAGAAATTGATTTAATGAATGAATTTTGATTAATATGTTCTGTACATATATGTATTTTAATTATTGGTAGATTTGATTAGTAACTTAGATTATGAGTGGCAGTGCCCTCATAGGGGGTTGAAGTAGCGTAAAATTATTGTCCTCCTGAGAGGGTACGTAAGTCCCAAAACATTCAAAGTAAATTTAAACCTACTACTCTTTTAATCGTAGAATATATGTTCGTTTAATTTATGGCTAGATTATCTAACATTGCTAATAGCTGAGGGGATGGTGTAAATCCAGCTAGGGTCCATGCAGGAAGCCAATGTACTGTAAGTCCCCATGGTCCCTAGTATGGTGATCTACCTTCAGTTGTTGGCAATATATAGCCGGTTTTTACCTTGTATTGTCCTATAGTTAGACTGTTTTAGATTTGATTGCTAGATTGCTAGTCACTCACTCACTCACTCACTCACTCACTCACTCACTCACTCACTCACTCACTCACTCACTCACTCACTCACTCACTCACTCACTCACTCACTCACTCACTCACTCACTCACTCACTCACTCACTCACTCACTCACTCACTCACTCACTCACTCACTCACTCACTCACTCACTCACTCACATGCTGCCGAGCACTGACGCTGTTTCCCCCCGCCAACAGAAACCACATGACCTGCCATCCATACATAGCTTAATGACAGTGTTTATGTGAACCGGCGCTTCAGTACTTTGTACAAACATAATAAACAATTAAAGATGTTTGCTGCCGAGAGCAGAGTTAAATGTGCATGAACTTTCTCCTCGATTGCACAACTCCTTTGACATGAGCAGATGTTTTAGTTTATGACTTGAATCCTGGTATTTACTTTGCCCCATTTGACATTTGGTGCCTTTTAGCAGGATCGTGTCATGTAGTGCTGTTACCATGTCCTGGGAGTTACTTAGTCGTATTGCCTTTCCAACTTATCCTAGGAGATTTAAAGGAAATACTAATTGCAATAATTTGCTGGATGAAAGATAAAGTCATCAGAAACATGTACCCCAATTGTTATTTAAGAAATATGGTTTATTATGCTTTTATCGCGAAAACAGTTTCTGTTTTCTGAGCTTCGGCCATTATGCATATTCCGCTGGAACTCACGTGAGTCATATGTGTCAAGCGTCCGCCATATTGCCAAAGAACAAGCGCTACAGTAATACAGATCTTGTTGTTTCTGTCGTTTTTGTGAATGGTACGATGGTGTATTCAATTGCCTGGGGATGCACGGAATCACCGAACAATGAGAAGAGCCACCATTCCTTCCGTTTTCCAAGTAAAGAGACAGATTTAAGCACGATAAATGCTCCGATCATTCCGAGTCGGACGCATATGAAAGAGACATGCACGTGCACACGTAGGGTATGAAAATCCCAGAGCTAGGCTGAAGACGGAAGAAGTGCCTACGAGATTCATTTATACTCCATCATTCCCTGTTACAACTTACTGTCAGTGGTATTTTTAACATAAATTAGATTAAAGTCCGATTGCCCCCGCTGCAAATTGCCACAGCAAATTTAGTTAAATTGCCCCGAAGTTTTGGTCAAATTGTCCCAGGGGTAGTCAAAATGCCCTAGTTTATTTAAAATGATTAAATATAGGCCATATATGGATTGTTTTGTCAACTTTGATATCATGTTCTTCGTATAAAAGTATATACATAGTTATACGTTTACTAATGGAACATTTTCAAGAAATATTACTTCCTAATAACTTTTATATTAAGAACATAATATCAAAGTTGACAAAAACTATGCATTTACGGCATATATTTAATCATTTTAAATCAATTTTACCAAATTAGAATGAATGACCAAATTTGCTGGGCCATTTTGAAGCTGGGGCAGTTAGACTGGTACCCATGAGATATATATTATCAAAAACAGTGAGCGATTTCACATAAGCTTGAAATGTTTCGCTATAACGTTCTTATCGGTTTGGAGCCCTGGATGCTGCAGTCTACCCGAAACATTGCCGAATACAACGGCAAATCATGAAGTACTAGTTGCTTTCATTGTTTTCCATTTTGTCCAGTTACGACTCGCTATTTGTCAGTAGTGTGTGCCGTGAAAGTTGTTATGTATTCTCATTGGCTGACAAGGTGTCATTCTAAGGCTATGACCGAGTACCATAACTATTTCCATAACCAAAAACTAGGGAAACATACATTGTTCTGACTAGTATTTTATAATTCACCAGTTTTGGGGAATAACTTATCTTCGTCGCGAATATTATCTCTGCTCGACCACTAAACTTTTTTGACCTTTTGTTTCGTTACTTCTTTTCATCTCAACCATTACATAAGAAAGATTTGAGGTTAGTCTTATGCGACAGGAACACCAAATTTATTCTTTAAAAAAGCTTGTGGTTAATATGACGTCAATACCGAGCGATTAAAAGTGGCCTTTTAAATTACATATGTCGCCTGCTTCCCAAATTTATTCTCGCCCGCCAACGAAACCACAGACAGGTTACGAAACCACTCTGTCTGTCCAGAGCACTGCAGTGACGTCATATGAGGAACGATTTTCAGTTAGTTGTATAGAAAATGTGTAGCACGCTCATCATTTTGATGATTTCTCGACATCAACGATGACATGCCGAATCGTTGCTTTGTCGTCAATTGCCCTAGGGTCGGGCGATGGTGTCCCCATGCACAGATTTCCACAGGACCCCGCAGTTCGTGCTAAATCGGTTATGTTTGTGAGTGCGAAGCGAGCGTTGTGGAAGCCTGAAACGATATCTTACTTGTGTTCAGATCGCTTCACTGAAGTTAAAGAATCAAAACTACTTACTAGTTGTTATAAAATATGCATATGATTGATGACCATAAAGATTTTCTATGACACAACTTGTAACATAACGATTTCTTCCTCGGAAGTGAGGTTGTGGTCGAAGTAACAATAATATTGTAAGTAGTATTATATTGACACCCACCTCGCTGCCACGAGAAATTGTTATGTTATACGTTATGTCATGCAAAATCCTATTGG